CCGCCCGGGGACCCGCCGCCGCCGCCGCCGCCGCAGCCCGTGCCCAGGATACTCTCCACGCCTGCGACCCCAGGCCCAGGGTGAACTTCATCCGATTGGGAGAAATTCGTCTGACCGGGAAGCTGCCGCGTGCGGGAATCAATTTGACGTGTCCTCCACGTCAATCTCTGCGGTCACGCCGCAGACGCGCGAGTTGGCAGCTCATTGGTTCCCGTCACTGCGCGGGGCGCCCCCTCCCCGCCCCTACCGCTACCCTCCGGAGTGTCTTCCTCCCATCCGATTTCTCCACGCCCTCTGACCCCCCCAACGCACTCCACAAACACAACCGTCCCCAACCCAGCTGCGCCTATGACGATCTTTGGGCACCCTCCTGCCTCCAGCTTTGGGAATGGTGGGAAGGTCATTTTAAAAGGATTATACAGCACTTAGTACTAACACTAATTCTACTTTTGGTTTTACTTTTATTTCCACTTCTGCCATCATTATTAATAAGCCACCAGAAGATGACAGTTGATCATAGCAAAGTGTTTAGGGGGTGCCTGCCTCAACTTCCCCTCCCTGGCCAGTAGCAAGTAAGAGAGGGGTCAAGAATCCAGGTCCTCTGTGGCAGGACCACGGTAGAGGAAGACAGTTTGCCCCTGTAACAGGGTGCCCCACCTCCGGTCATTCCCCAGTTCTGCTACCAGAACATCCGGTTTCAAGCGTTTAAGGGCCACCTACCTCCTGCAGTGGTGGGGTCATTTCACCTCCCTGGAAAGGCACCTGGGTTCTGCCTCCTGCAGCGAAGCCCACCCACCAGAGGTTGAGCCTCTCTGGAGGTGAGCCAGGACTCTGGAGGAAGTTGTCACTACCTGTTGTCACTAGTCCGCAAGGAGTGCTAGGATGCAGAAGAGGTTCCCACTCACCCAGGCCACCCAGCCTCCCCCACCCACCATGGAAAGGTCCTCTCCCAAGTGGTTAAGGGCAGGGGTGTTGCACAGCACTGAACTATTTGACCCTGGCATGAGATGCCAACTGTTTTTGCACCCACCACACACTTCAGCACTTCCCAGGCTGCCAGAGTCACAGAGGGGACCAAAGGGGGAGAGGGAATCTTGGGATTTTGAGCCTAAAAGCAACCAGGAGGTGTCCAACTGCAGGAGGATGACAGCCTGAATGGAGTCTAGTACAGCTTGGAGTCCTAGGTCTGGTCTCCTGGAAGCTCACAGGTCTCTCAGAAGGGAAGACACAGCTCCTGTAGGGGGACTCCACAGACCCAGGCCCCAGAGACCCTATGCACGTGGCCAGGCCCTTTCCCCTACTAGGCAGTCTCACGAGCAACGCTGGCAGCTTTCCCTAATGCAGGGGCTAGGCTGTTCTGTGCTCTCCTTGGGTCTACTGGAGATCACGCAAGGTCCCCCAGGGGCTGGAGCTGGAGCCCTCTGCAAGAATCAAGAAAATCCAGTTTGGGAAGGGCTGAGGACCTTTCCTTATGTAGGATGCAGAATCCGGTATCCTGGGAGCCTAGGAGTGGTCTGGGGACTAGAGAAGAGGATTTGAGGTCAGCGCCCTGTGAAAGCGAGTGACCACATGAAAGGCTAGGTCCGTCTGGCGCTGGACAGAGACCCCAGAGACCACTTGGACTGGCGACGTATTGTGCACGGGATGAGAGCACGCAGGGCGTGGCGAGACCAGGCCGTGGAGGCTTTGGAGAGCAGGGTTGCTCTAGGTTCTCTCTGAGTATTCTGGAACCTCTGCGCCCCTGATCTAAATATGTCCTGCTTTCAAGTCAGGAAAGGTATTCTGAGAAAGGAGGGTTCCTACACCATGGCCTCGCTGAGATCTGCATCCGGGCATCCAGGACCATGGAGAAGCAGCTGAAGCCACTTCTCTCCTCTGTGTGTGAGGACTCAGGACGCTGGAAGGGAGAATAGAGCAAGTTTAACAGCTGGCCCTTGCCAGCTCTCCATGCACCAGGTGCAGTGCCGAACACACCTTCGCTCCGGGGAAGGTGCTCTGCTGGACAGAGGCCGAGGGAAGCACGGGGCTTATACTCGGGGACCGGCAACTCTGGTGCCCTGCACGGGCGTAGTCCGGACCATACCAGCCGCAGGCGTTTGGCCCAGCCAGGCACCTGGAAAACCTTACAGTTTGTCGCCCCCTGTCGGCCCCGGGCCGGGCTCCACAGGTTCCCGCGCTGCGTACTGCACAAGGCGAGGTGGCCAGAAATAGGGTTGCAGGAGCGTGTGGACGACCTTCCCTCCCGGGAGGACCGGTCCGTCCTGGACTGGCAGCTGCTGGCCAGCGCCGAGCGAGAGGTGAGGAGCTCGCGGAGCCGCGGGGCTGCATGGCCGGGCTGGGAACTGCGGTCCCTGCGCCCTGGAAAGGCTCGCCGGCTAGGGCTGGAGCGTACAGTGGTGGGACGTGGGCTGAGGGTCCTCGCATCATCTCTGGAACCGGCCAAGGTGTCTGGAGTAGGGCGAGAAGGGGCCGTCTGGGTGTCACAGGGGTGTTCCCTAGCAGACGCGAATGGGGTGTCTGCCTTTCTGGGGCCTGGGGCTGGAGACTATGAAGCCGGGAGTCCCCCTTAGCCAGGAGCCGCCCAGCACCTCAAAGCTCGGCAGGGCAGCCAGGTCTCCGGGGAGCGAAAGTAGCACCCACTCCATGTCTTCCGCGTCGCTTGGATTTTTGGTGGCGCTCTTTGATGGGGCAGCGAGTTTGGTGGCAAAATAAAACATGCGACAATCTAGGCTCTTCACGGAGCCCAGGCTGGTCGCACGCTTTCCGGGAGAAAACCGACCGAGCCAATGAAAGTCCGACTCGGGTAGCTCAGGTTCGCCTTTCGATTTTGCGGGGAAGGATCCGAGAGCAGAACCACAGCCAGGGCGCAGAAGAAGCCGCGAGTCTGGATCCAACCTCGGTCAGGTCTCGCCACCCTCCTGCTTCCAGCCACATCTCGGTGGCTTCCACGCGTGGGCCGCTACACTTTTGCAGTTTTTAAGAGCACAGTGAGTCTTGGGGTTCGAAATAAGTCAACTTCTACATTTTTGGACTTTACCTTTTAAAAAACCAGCTCAGGCTGTGGGTGAATTTTGTGCATGGGGGTGCAGTGACATTCGACCACATACACAATTTTGCAAAGAAAATCCTTCCATACCACTCTTTAAAAGAGTAAGAAGACATTTTATAGAACAGCTGAAAAAACCGAGAAAATTTCCCAAAGAAGAGCTGAGATAAGGGAATTGTATTCCTGCAAGAAAACCACTGGGAAGTGGCCAGGATGGTGAGGAGAGGGGCAGAGAGGGAGAAGAACTCGCCCAGAGGGGCTGAGAAGCAGACCTCTGCTGGAAGCCACTGCACTCTCCCTACTTTACCAAGGAAGGTGGACCCTTGTGCAGCACCTTCCAAAGTCACTGACTCAACAGATGCCAAATGAAAGCGCCCCAGACTGGTGCCCTTCGGCATTAAAACACAGCCCCAAGAACAAGAAGTGCTACTGGGCCGCTGGGGGCCAGGGCCCCCTTTTCCCCCAACGTTTTCCACTTGGCCTGAGGTCTTAAAGTATTTGGCTAGCTTAACTGGGCTGAGGCAGCCTCTTCGAACCTTGGTTACAGACCCCCTCAGCAGTGTCCTTGGAAATGCAGAGCAGCCAAAGAAGCAAAGAAAAATTGTTATTTTCCTCAAATGAAATGAATAAGCAGGACTAAATCCATATTTTTGTGTGATAAACAAAATAGTGGGTGTCCAGGATTCCTTGATTCCGTTCAGAGACAAAAGGAGAAAAAACCAAACAGAAAACAGATTAACCATGAAACCCACATTGGAATTAGAAGGGGAAATTGAGATCACAAAGGAAGATCTAAGATACTTTCTACCCAGGGTGTGAGGACCTGGCTAGAGCATTTACAACAGTGCTGTCAGAGTAGAAGCACTATACGGTGGTGGTGGTGGTGGTGGTGGTGGTGGCAGCGGTGGTGTTTAGGTGATAACATAAACGACAGGGGGCTACCGCCCTGTGTAGGCAGGAAGTGTTGCTCTGAGCTTTTGAGAAGCCCTGTGTCATCCTTGAGTACAGACCTTGCACCAGCTGGATCCACTGCCCTGTCCCCCTGCTTTCCCCCAACAACTAGCTTTGGTTTCTTCTTGTAGAGAATTACCAATATGGTGCAATTAAAGCTATTTCACCTCATTCCAACAACCTAAACATCCTGCAGAAGACTCCAGGCAGGGCTGGGGAGATGGCTCAGTGGAATAAGCACTTCACTGGTAAGCACAAGGACCTGAGTTCAATCCCTGGTTCTGCGGAAGAAGAAGAAGAAGAAGAAGAAGAAGAAGAAGAAGAAGAAGAAGAAGAAGAAGAAGAAGAAGAAGAAGAAGAAGAAGAAGAAGAAGCAGCAGTGGTCAAAATTCCACCTTTGCAGGTAGCTCTCAACACTGTTTATGTGGCAGTGCTGATATTAAAATGGAAATATTTGGAAAACTTAAACTGTCCATGAGGCATATCTCCTGGGTACTCAGGATGAGGGGCATGCAAGTGTGCAAGGGAGCCACAGGAAGGCAGGTTTTGTTTTTGGGTTTGGTTTGCAAAGGACAGAAGTGGCATTTGCTGAAGGAAGGGTGAGGGTGACTATGATGAGACCTGCAAAGGCAAGGGTGGGAGTGGGCGAGGTCCCCTGCAAGTATGGACATGTGTATGATGGAGGAGTCTGTCCTGGCCTAGCCTAATTGGAACCAGCTCTAAGCACGCTGCCCTTGAAAGCAAGGACAACGCGGCAGACGGGAGGCTTTTCTGCTCTGGCACTGACAGGAGCTGGAAGATGCCCAGGAGATGCTAACTCCCTTTGTCTC